CGACACCTTTAGATACTGAAACTTAATTGGCGGGAGTGAGGAAACGACGAGACGGCAAGGAGAACGTGATTAGGCTGAAAATACAACAATGACCATAAGATTCCACCTCGGGTCACCGAAGGCAGGCCGTCCAACTGCTCAACCTCCATAAACATAAACCAAAGTTCAATGGAAAAAAAACAAAACGAAAAAAAAAAACTATTATTATCACAGAATCAGGTTTTTACAGACAAAGTTCACCTAAGTATTAACAGATGATCATAATTCATTGCTTTTGCCATCAACTGCTGAGTTTGCTGCCGAAATTCACAAAGCGGCAGTGCCATCTAGTGGCGCTGCGTGGAAGCGCATCTTTTTTCCAACACGCCTGCCCTCGCATGAACCCAGGGAGCTGAACACAAACGTTCTGGATATTATGGTTGCTCAACCAATTCTGCGATTAACGTGAGAAAACTGCAACACAAAGCATCTCGAATGGAAAAAGCGAGTCGTGCGAACCCAAATCCCGAAGCATGCAAGATCTGGTTAAAGCAGAAATGTGTTTCCTTAACCAACTGGATCCAGACTGGATCCCGTCAGAAACCCTGCTCAGCTGAACGAGGCACATGTTTCTATCTCGCCCAGGCGAAACCACGAAATCACTTTTATCGGCCGCATCGATCACCATGAATGTTTATCACATCAGCATCGGTGCTGAGTAATCAAAATGGTTTGTGGCAATCCGCAGTGATATATATTTGTCTCACATAAAAAAAAAAAATAATTAAAAAAAAACTCTGACCATCCACAATAAGGGGAAACTGACGGGATTTTGGAATCGCTTCTGCTTTTGCAGAGGCTTTGTTCACTTCAATAATCGCTTCCACAGCACGATGCTGCCTCTGGGTTTGCATTTTTTTTTTTTGTGAAATTGTGCGCAGGTGGCAACAGAAGCTTTTTTTCCCCCCTTTTTTTAAGCTTGATGATACATCAGGACGTATTTACCTCAACTACAATACAAATTGTTAACAGACCAGAAAACAGGCAAGATTTTTAGAAGCCCAAACGACATCACGACTGTTCGTGGTTTTGTGAACGTTTGCCACATTGTCTGCTGTACTTTGACTTTGAATATGTCAGCTGCACTGGGTATCTTTTGGAGTTGTGCTGCACTCATTTATTTTTTTAGAAGATAATTTAAGTAGATAAATGTAAAAAAAAAAAAAAAAAAATCAATAATTGAGCTGGCTTCTTCAGATTTCAGTTCTTTCATTTGAAAGTGTCTTGTTTAAAAGGTGCAAAAGTGTCCATGTCACTACTACGTTTCTGTACCTAGAAAAGGAATAGAAATTTTACCTTTTTTTGCAGAATAACAAATAAAATCATGGAAAGTAACATATCAAGTGCACATAGCGTACAAATACTAAAACATTTTAAATGTACAAATTGTGATATGTGAATATAGTTTTCTAAGCAAACATTTCTTTAATCAGTCTGTGTTTTGGTTTGACTCTGTATATTTTTTTTCCAACATTCAATTTTTACACATTCAATTTGAGGTAATATAACTTAGACAAGCTTCTTAAAATGCCTAAATGCATGAAACTCTCCACTTGAGTACGGGGTCAATCTACTAAATGTTGCATTTTCTGCCAAAACAATAATAATAAAAAATAAAAAAACTTGTTCCAATTAAATGTCAATTTAATCACAAATTGCTGCAAACCAAGCTGACGAAATAACTCCAAAGCAATCTGCATCAGTTGTAAATTTTATTACATTTTTCAAATTCATAACAGCAAGAATATATAGCAATACAGGCCCTATGAAAAAAAAACAAACAAAACAAAACCAAAAAAAAAAAACTTTTTCTCATAACACCACACAACCTGCAAAGTTGAAACATCACTTCAAAGGCTCTATTAAATACTCTACATGTCTTCTTGATTTAGTGCATGATGTCGTCTTCAGTAAAACCGAGGCGTACACGCTTTTCTGTCAGCTCCAAAAAAAAAAAAAAAAAAACGTACAGCACCCCACCCGTCTGTGAGCTCCTTCCTTATTTCGTTCCGATGATTGAAGTTTTATGGCTTAAGACTGTTGCAACCTACGCACGTCGTTCCCTGCGAGCGCCGTACCCAAACGAGGCGGACAGCATGCAAACGCAACGCATTCTTCCAAGGGGCCTGGAGCAGTAAAACAAGCAGAAACAAACTGCGGCAGAGGACAAGATACATCATCTCAGCACTACGAGCAGAAAAAAAACAAACATACAAATTATAAAGAGAAAAGCAAAACAAAACCCTTCAGTTTACATTATATCATAAATATAAGAAGAGTGTGCTTGTGGAAGAGGAAGGAGAACGCGAATGTTCAGAGCAAACGTTGAATATTCAAATGGCGCACGATTCAGAGTGCCGCGTGGTTGCATGGTTCACACTTGCTTGATTTTTACCAGTCCTTTTCGGTTCTGGATTTGGGAACCCACTCTCTTTTTGGAAAATCTTAAGAGGATGGCACTCGTCTTGTGAAACCGACGACATGATAAATTTGTGAACTGTGCCTCGGTTTGGCCAGGAACATTAACCCTGGAAACGTCCAGCAGATTCCAGAAACGTGTGGGAAGAAGAGAGTCTGTGGTTTGTGTCAAGCGGATGCAGGGAGGAGTCGCCTGTCATCTGGTGTTCAAGGTGAATGCAGCAGCAGGATGAGGGCAGATACCTAAACTAATCACAGATTCACTCAGCGTCCTGCAAAGGCTCCTCATCAAACAGTAAAATTCCTACAGAAACAGAAATTAATTGAATACATTAATAGATTTTTTAATAGTTTTTTTTTTTTTTGTATTTGTGTTAATGTGATACTGATATCTTCAATTAGCATATTTTATCTAGTTTTAGATCGCAAACGTCTACAGATTGTAAATAGTCACAATTTACCCCAAAACGTACATCTGAGACAGAATGATTTTATTAAAAAGTGTATAGACACACATCCTCTTTTTGGGCAACACGCGAATTTGAAGAAGTGAGGATGTGTACTTTAGACGCTGCAGATGCTGCAGTACGGCTGCGGACGCCTCCTGAAAGCTAATTCGTCAAGAAGGTGTTTAGTCTGTTTGACATATATTATTCAGAAGACGATGACAGTTATTCAGAGTTTTTTCCAAATTTTCTGGTACAATGCCAATTTGCTAGGTCTCCAAATTAGAATGTTTTTATGAAAGTTTTCCTGCTACAGGACAACTTGCCATATTACTCTTCACTCTCTGGTTCTGTTTTCAGAAAGAAGACTTGCTAATGACATAGTCGTTCACAGAAGGGAAAAAAACCAACCCAAAAAACCACGAAGAAACAAAACAATAGACCTGCAGAGATGTGCCCCGCCATCTTGGTTTCAGGGCAAAAACAAAAATATTCAAATTGCTGCATGACACGAAGAAATAATGAACAATTAAAAGAAGTTAATGGCATCGATTGACAATCGAAGTAATACTTTGACATTAATAATTTTTATTAATGATGCAGTTCTCTGAAACAGTTGTAAAAAAAAAAGTACAAATTATAAAACTTTTTCTGAAATGAACTCAGTTTTACCTGAGTTTAAACTTTCTGTGAACATCCCTGGGGGACGGCGCGCAAAGCAGAAAGTACCAATAAATTATCATAAAACTTGCAGACTTGGGACATTTTCGCATTCATTTAATGGGGGAAATCTTTGTTCAACCAGACCAGAAATCCTTGTTTTTTGGGTTTCATTTCTTTATCCAAGGACGAAGCACAGATATTGAAACGACAAGGACCCCATTTTCAATAATTATAAGCTATTTGGAATAAAACGTACATACAGGGAAAGCCTTATTGGCGGCGGTTTCTTTAGGACTCTGACGTCGCCCTGACATTTCTGTTCAATCCGTTCCATCAACCACAAGCACAGCTGACACAAACGGAAACCAAAATTACTCTTATAGCTACGGTGTTTGTGTTGCATGTATCATATCTCCCCAAGTGGTGAAACCTTAGTGAGTATAGTCTCTGAAAACCTTTTATTTTTTAAATAAAACCACTACTCTATGTTTTTTGTATTATATATCTATATATATATATATATATATATATATATATATATATATATATTACTGCATTACATTGATAAGATATTGTATACTGTAAATACATCTTTCTGTGTAAATGAGTTCTTATTCAATATTAGTGTGTTGTGAAGTTTATCATTATAATTTTTTTTTTTTTACCCGTCACTGTATTATATGTATTTCTGTTGACATGCATTCCACTCTGAGTAAAGGTAAAACAGACAGGACATGTTGTGGTAGGTGGGGCCTGGGATGGGGGCTGAGGGTGGGGGCGAGGGGGCGGTCTCGGCGCCGACCCGTCGACACAGACAGGTTAACGAACCCCCTCGGGTTCCCCCCACCCCCCTGCCGGGCCCCCGCCAGGCTCTTGTGTTGCAGGACGGCCATGGACGCCTCCTTCCAGAAGTTTTACCGGGCAAACTACAAGCTGCTGACAAAAAAGAGGGAGCAACACTTGGCCTTTTCTGTTTTTTCATAATTATAATTGTCAAGGTTTCCCCCAGAGACCATGCTAAGCCTGGTGTCCGGCGTGTTTTGGAGTTAAAAAATGTCCAACGTTTGCAGGCAATTGGGAAACATCCCTTGATAATTGTAGTCGGGGTTCAGATATTAATCTTCCAATCGTTCAATGACACATAAAGTCTGGAAAAATGCAAACATTTACAAAAAACTTAAATAGATAAGCAATGCTAAACCTGGTGGGGGCACAAGTAAAGCCTGGTGGCCCGCCAGGCTTATAGTACACCGGGGGAAACCCTGATTATTGTTGTTATTCCGCAAAGAGGCAGGAGAATGAGAAACTCAGCGCCCTCTAAATGCAAGCGATTTTTGTTCAGCCTTTCATAAAGAATTTTTTTTTTCTTTTTTGTTGTCCTAGCAAAATTCCCTGTCAACGTTTTTCTTTTTTATTCAAAATAAGATCTCAATATACACGATACTCTCTATTTTTATTTGCTTTTCTTTTCTTTCTTTTTTTTTTTTGGCTATGTACAGAAGTGCAAAAAAGTCGACCTTCGTTACGTCTTCATCGCCACAGTGTTCCCCTCACCCTGTCCCCCCCCGCCCTCCCCGTTGTTTGCGGTCGGCGGAGTTGGAGACGAGCGCGTCGGACCGCCGCCCGCCGAGTTCGCCTTCGCCCTGCCGGCCTGTAAAAGTGATTAAATATGCAGCTTGTCTTCCAACATGGCCCGATTTCCAGGGAGAGTAGAAACATTTCAACAATAGTTAATATTTGAAATGGATAGAAAATAACATCTTTACTCTAAACATCTATGAACTAGACTTTTTGATAACATTGTTTTTTGTTTGTTTTTTTTTTTTTACGCTTATAGGACGAGGTACAAACCTTACAATCGTTAAAATATTAGTCAGTTATTGACAAGCGTCGCCACAGTGACAACTCAGCCTCTCGTGTTTCTATTGTGTCAACACTGTTAGATACTCATATAAAACATCTTTGTTCAAAGAACACACACGAAACCAGACGAGAGAAATGAACAGAAGACGCATACGCTTCAACAATATGCATAACGTAGAAAATATTGAGCTTACAATCGTAACCGTACCAAAAAGAACAAAAAAAAAAAAAAAAGACCTCACGTGGAATTTTTGGGAACTCTGCGGATGGGAGGTCACATGCAGAAACACGCACGCACGCTGTACCTATTATACTCATTATTATAAAGATAAATATTATCCGCAAAACCAAAAAAGTAAGAACTAACATCAAAGTATTTTCCAAACAAAATGTTCACTCCTTGTCTGAGAAGGAAAACACAGACAGCCACGTCGTGTTCTGTGTGTGTTGCATTATGGCATGGATTAGGCAGCCGCATGGTTCAAAATGGCGTGTTGCATTGTGCTGACCCGATGGTACATGCTAAGGCTTCGGATGAGTAATACAATCAGGTTTCATTTTCTTGCCGCTTTCCAGCTGTCCTTGTCCGTCAATTAAAAATGTCTGAAGAACATCCAAACCACGAGAGAAACAAAACAAACAGTTTCAGAGATCTACTCTAAACACCCGGACCTTCTTTGGGCTGGCTGTCCTCCTGAAGTCAGCCCCTCTAGTCTACTCAGTACGACAGCGACACAGAAAGACTTTGGCTGACTATCCGAAAGACAGTTCTCAGGTATTAAACAAACACTCTTAAATACGTCGGACCACATATATATATATATATACACGCACGCACTACGCCGACTTTTCTTCGACGACCTGTCTTAGAATACGCATAACCATGAATAAGAAGAACAAATTATCATTATTTTTTTTTCTTCTTTTTCTGTTTTTAAAGAAAACAAAGATCATCACACCTCCACCAGCAGACTCTTCTTTACAGATTTCTTGTTTGCCTTCACAGCAGTTATTTTGTTGTTTTCGTCTTCATCCCAGAGAGACTCTACAGGTCTGCATGCAACTTGCGCTACCTTGAAACATTATTATCACTATTATTCGACTGAACTTTTTCACATTTTGCTACACGGCAACCACAAAACCTCAGAGTGCTTAAATCAAATTTGCTCTGTCCTGGACCGACACAAAGTAGCGCAGAGAAATGTGCCGCGTGTGTGAAGTCCAAGCGTTGATGAGCTCAAGATTTTCCAGTGGCTTTCAGGAAGTCACCTGCCTGCAAAATGTTGCATGAAGCGTTGGTGGCAGAAAACCTACGCTCCACGCAGCCCCGAACACACCGTCCCGACAACGAGACGCAATTCAGGCGGCGCTTGGAGGGAGGCTTTTCGCTAGCGGAACGGGAAGGTCGATCGGAGGCCATGAGAAGACGGAGGGAAGCGAACGCAGAAAAGCAGGAGAACGACTCAATACAACGCCTTACATCTAAATCTAACTGAGAACATGAGGCTATTTCACAGTTGTGCCATTTTATAGCTAAGAATTGGCAAAAGGTTTCAGTCTTTAGATGTGCAACAAAACAACTGCAGCTCTCCTCGCAGCAAAAAGTGGCGCCACAAAAGTATATCATTAGTGGAAAAAAACCCAAAAACGATTGCGCTACTTTGTGTTGGTCTGTCACAAAAGACAAGTTTGTAGTTGCAGAGTGAAAAAAATGTGGAAAAGGTGATATGAATAGTTTTGCAAAGCACATGCTGGCACAGAAAGACGGATTGTTATGTTTGCAGGTTCGCATTTCTGAACAGCTAACAGATATCGAAGAATATAGTCAAAACAAAAAATGTAAAAAGGTTTCCATCAGTAGAATATTTAGGGTGCAATAATCAGCGGTGCTTAACGGGAATTACAGGTAATGACAGGTCATGTGGCTGGACACATGTCCTGAAAAAAGAGCAAACCCCTAAACCAGACGCGTATGACTTAAAGGGAATTGTTGAGTTTAAAACTTTGTAACACTGCTTGAATACAATTCCTGTCTACTTTGAGATGCATGGCACTTTACAGGGATTCCTGTAAGGTTAAAGACGTGTGCTTAAGAGATAAAAAGGTAGGCTACAAAGGTTTGAAAGACACATCACAGACATTCAGTTGCTTTCTTGCGCAGGCAAATTCCCTCATCACTGTTAGAAGAACAGAACCAGATAGAACAACAAAAAACAAACAAACAAAAAATAAAATTATTGTGCATGCATATGTGGTTCAGTCAGATTATCTGTTCCTTTACTTTAACTGAGATACAAGGTGCACCTTGGTGTAAACAAATGAACACATTGACATTCGAAAAACCAACAACCAATAAACGAACAAGACAACGCAAGAGTTGATTCTTGGTCAGCGGACGTACCGATTCAGTCCCGACGACTGCTCCTCCCTCATGAACCTTGTGTTGACATTCAAAATGTGTCTGGTGAATAAAGGTCAGTCGCCTCTGCAAAACGAGAGGCAAGTCTTGAAATACAAATGACGCGCTTCTAATTCTTTGTTTTTGTTTTTGTCTGTTGTCGCGTGAAACTGTGCAGGAACGTCACATGAGAACGTTGTTCCTTCTACGCTGACATGCAGATTTTATTCCAAAGCCACTCGGCTCTCGCTGTTACTTGTATGAAGGTTGACCGTTAATCTTGGACTTGACACCAGCACGCTCCATCTCCAGTTCCATCTGGGCAGGTTCAAAGGAAGAAAGAAAGAAAACAACACAGACATTTTGATTAACATTACTCTTCTTATTATTATGGATTACGATACTTTTTGAAGCTCTGCCTTTTTGAGGTGCGGACACTTTAACAGTCTCCACCTCTAGTCTAGTCAAAGTAAATTCCCACCCACACACGTGACATTTTCAGGTCTTCAAATCATGAGAAAAAATATCATCTTAGCTGTGCTAACACTGCATAACCCAAGATATGACAGCAAGAGTTTCTCTTGCTTTGTTTTGTCGAGGCTTGAGAGAACCTGCTAACATGAAGGCCATTATCATTTTGAGAATAGTGTTTTAGACTAATTTAAATCAACCCCTTAATTTGATGTGTGGACTAACATCATATGTTCTCCAAAACAGTTGATGCACGAGTCCATTCTAATTAGTTCCCATCATTTTTTCCCCCATCCCATCATTTCATCTCAATTGAAGTTTTGATTGTCTTTTGTTGATTCCGAATAAATCTTAAATCCCGAGATTCATAAAATTACGCGATTATTCTTTTCGTGTGAGAAGATCAGAAGATCTTTGAGGGGTTTATTTCTAAACATCAAAGTGATTAAATGTAGATTAACTCTGTTTAATTATAAACAATACAAGTCCAGACACAATGTAGCAATAATTATTTATAAGAAAATTTGTTAGTGATTAAAAAAAAGTCACTTTTTGTTTAATTTCAAGTAAAAAAAAAAAAAAAAAAAAACAACATCAGACAAATTCACAGAACATTAACAAAAATGAGTGCAATATTTTGCTAACTTTAAAACAAATGGGAAAAGTTTTCTATAAATTTAAGGCCTGGAAGAAGTTGGATTGGAAGCTGCTCTTTATTTTTGAACATTATCCTGCTGATCATAATCAGTTTTCTTGACAAGTGGCAGCATGCAGCAGTTTCTTCTTTCAAATAGAACAAAGTTCCCAGAGCTTATAGAAGAGAAGCAGGCCGACTGCTTAAAGGTTTCTTCACCATAGCTGATGCAGTGGCGTCTAATCCAGTGGGGAACAGTGACATCACCAAAAGGCTAAACCCCACCCATTCTTCCTCCAACCTCTTTTTCTCTGTGGACTAAAACATATTTTTTTTTCAGATCCTCAGACGGTTCCTTGCCATGACAAACTTCCAGTGACCAGAAAGAGAAAGTGTGAGAGCGATAGCACCAAATTTAACACACCTGCTCCCCATTCACTCCTGACACCTTTTCATGCAAGCGAGTGACATGACAGCAGGAGAGAAAATGGCTAATTGGGCCCAATTTGGGCATTTTCACTTAAGGATGTGTGCTCACTTTTGTCACTCATGATTTCGACTCGAAATCATGAGTCTAAATTTTAGACGTTATGTGGGCTGAGTTATTTTGAGGGAGCTGAAAATTAACGCTCTTACACAAGCTGCACACTAATTTAGATTGTATAAGTCATATTTTCAGTACAGTCCCATGAAGCATGATACAATATTTTACTTCTCACTTTAGTAAAATATTACATTCTACTTTTTAAAGCCAACCTGGATTTTGTTTGCCACAATCTAATTCTTTGCCTCATTTGACCAAATTATTCGCTTCAAGTTTCTTCACTATGGATGCCAATCAGTGTGGACAACAATTTCAGTCCTTTTCTCGCCGTTTCAGCGAAACATTTGACTCCAGTGAACCATCTACGCTGTGTTGAAACGGTTTTTGACAGGAACTGTGCAAGACACTCTAATAGGAGGAAGTACATACTGTTCTGACAGAGACTCCTACATCTGGGTCACATACTTGTGACTAGTCAGATGGTCCGCAGATATTATTGGAATCTGACGGAGAGGAGAGAAGAGAAAACAGGAAGACAAGGGAAAACAGAGAGAGTTAGCAAACGGGCCGAACAAAACGAGGACAAACAGCACTTCATGTGAAAGGCGAGCATGGCGAGCGCGTAGAAACAAAACCACACATGACTAGCAAAAGATCAGAGACGAGCCTCTGTTTTCCCTTCGTGCATTATTTATGAGGAAGCGCAACAGAATCATATCATTCAAAGGAAAACAGAAAAGCCGGAGCTGATTTGAAAAAAAAAAAAAGATAAAAAAAGTAATAATGTGAAAGAAAGTGAGAGAAGGCAGGAAGAGGAGCAAACCTGGTTGGCTGTTGCTGTTGCAAAGGGAACACTTGTGGCAGGTGTGGTGGCTGCAGACACAGTGGCTGGAGAAGCACCGTGCATCATGGGTACTTAAAGGAAAGATCACACAGGCAAGATGAACCATACGAGAGTTAAAGCTGTTCATGCTTTGAACCTCATTTTCATGTCTGTGCTCAGACTGCTGATAAACATGAGAGAAGTCTCTAGTTATATGTTTTTTTTTTTTTGTAAAGTAGCTGCAAGTCTTTTCTTTTTTGAGTGAATTTAACATCTGCGACTGAGTGAAGCTACTTGGTCAGAAACATGGACTATAGATTGGCAAACAAAGGGTGAGAGGATGTTGTCTAAGTCACTTTATTCATTGCACATTTCCACTCTCAGTCAGAATCACAACAGGATCTTTTCATTAAATCCATTAAAGTAAGCCTGACACGGCTGTGTCAGGCTTACTTTATTGTTGTGCTGAGAACAACAATCTTCAGTGCAGACGTGCTAACTTCAGGAAGACTCTGTGTTTTTTTAAAGGGCAGTGAGGCATGTAAAAATAAAGAAGCAGAAAGATGCAACCTTTTTTCCTACTGAGGCATGCTGGCTGTTCATTCAGACTGGATATTCTGCTTCTTCTCCATCACATACTTTTGAAATTTTGGTGAATTTTATTTTACTTTTTTACAGAATTTTTCTATTAGTTGGAGCTACGTATCAATGTCTGCACCCACCTGGGACATTTTGGTAGAAAGATGTAAAGTTGTTCTTTGTTTTTCATATGAGGATGCAACTGTTATTTACTGTTTTTTAATGGCAGTGTCAAGATAAGTTAATGTATAAAGTTGCTCAAGATCTCACACGCACAGCAGGATATTGCCTCGGCTTCTACTCTGAATAATTAAAGAGCAGTCGCTGCAGAAAGATGAGAGAGGGAGATATATCGAACGCTGTTTAATTATGGGTCTGAAAATTGGATAAAATCCGCATTAGCAGTTCCTGAGGTTTACAGAAACAAAAGATTTGAAGTCGTCCGCGAGTCTTTGATTAGTGCATCGCTACAATCAAGTTCTCCTAAATACTAGTGAGGTGTTATTTTATGTCTTGAACAACGTAAAGTTCAAAACTTAATATTTAGAAAAACAAATGTTCACCCAGGTGCTGAAATGTTAAGTGCCAAATAAATAAAAAAAATCTCAAATTATTGTCGCAGCAAATTTAGTTCCCTCTAATATTTCTGCTCCAATTAAAAGTTCTCTCATGTTTAAGTGGCTTTTCACAGCCTGACAGTAAAATGAAGTACTGCAGAGGTTAGAGCGCTTCAGATGGAGACATAATGAAGCAGGGGAATTAAAACTGCAACAAGCTTTAGGTGACTTAAGAGCTAAAAAGAGTAGAAATGTATTTCTTAAAGACGTACTGAGCAGTCCAGCAAAACCTCCAATTGATATAGAAAAATCTCCTTAATTAACAATTTTGCAATTCAAGCTTAAGCTGCCGTAAAGAGACTGTAACTTCAGTCGAACGTTTTGCAGGGTGAATGATGTGCTCAAAATAACAGGACGACTTAAAAGTGACAGGAGAGACCACAGAGGACTCAAACATGATTAGTAAGGAAAGCTGGCACCTACCAACACTTGTTGCAGGTGTCATGCACAAAATCGAGCCTGCCCATCATGCATTGCAACAGGGATCGGAGTGAATGGGAGGGGAATGTGGGGTGAGGGGTTAAGAGGGACAAGACAGCAAAGAAAAATAAATACATTTTAGAATCACACAACACTGGATTTGACCTGGAAATGAACAAATTACGCTCAGAGTGGGTTAAATGGCCGGGCTGAACTGAATTGCTTCAGCCCGCCATTGATACTGATTATGAGAAATAATAGGGTACATAATAGCCTGAATTTGCCGGTCCATTGAATTAAAATTAAATACTAGCGGTGGCCTCATTTCACCAGTGGCCTCACAGCAACTCACCAGTGGCCTCACAGCAACTGTTTGCACCATGAAATATTTGAGTGACCTCCTTTTTTGAATCCCCTAAGTGCGCCGTGGTGACCTGACAGCCCGGTGGAGGGAGACATACGAGGAACTGCTGGGAATCGATGGCGAGCTATTCTTAGGCTGTCAGACGAGAACACTGGCCACACTGTCAGATGACTCTGCAACGTCTAGAGAGGTACTCTGCAACAAGGCTGTCCTTGTGTGTGTGTACGTATGTATTTGCATGCATGTACTTGATTATACCACACTCTTTAGGTGGAGGGTGTGTCCTTCTTACTTTTGATGATCCAGTAAGATCCTGTCAAACATCGACATCTGGTTAACTGAGCTAGAAGCCATTTTGGTTCCCTGATTGTCTGATGGCTTGGTTGTTTTGGGTTTCTTTTTCAACAGAAAGCAATTTGTAAAGAAGATGATACATCAATTGCTTGGTTTGGCCTAACATAGCCTCCAGAGCAAATGTTTGTACGTTTGTCAATCTGCCACAAAACCTAAATTCATGCTGTTTCAAAATATTGACTTACAAAGGCATTCATACCCCTTGAACTTATTCTAATTTTCGCAGCTGAGAGCTGCATTTTGTCGCTGAAAGCTTTTCACTTTTATATTCCCACATCAGATCCACTGTTCTCAATCGCACCTAATTCAAAAGTAGAATCAATCTCTATTTGATCTTGGCCTCAGAGGTTTGATGGAGAACATTAGTAAACAAGCCGCATCACTAAGGAAGGTGTCCGGCAGGTCTTTGAACATCTCATTCAGCACTATGCAGTTGATTCCTAAATTTCCCCACTGTGGGATAATTAGGGGTATTTCTATTCTATTCTATTCTATTCTATTCTATTCTATTCTATTCTATTCTGTTCTATTCTATTCTATTCTATCCCACAACAAAACAAGAACGGCACAACTGCAAACCTACCAAGAGAAGACACAAATCTCCACCTAAACCAGACAGTGTGGTAATCAGTTAAATGACTGCAGGATTCATTTAATCCTGTAGAAACTGCAGAATCTATTTGCTATTAGTTTCACAATCCACAAATCCCTTCACGAAACGGTGTCAAGATAAAAACCACTGTTGAAAGAAAGCTGTAAGAACTCCCAGTTTGTAAAACCACAGAAAACCGACATCCTTCATCCTATTTTACTGGATCAACTTCATGGATCCAGTAAAATACATGTCATCATGGTGACCTTTGCCGCGTGTCTTTTCTTTCTCTCATTTTCCTTCTTTTGTGTCATAAGACTTTCAAATAAAGGCCAAAAAAAAAAGATACAAAACTTTCCAAAATGAAAACCTGTTAGAAGCAGAAATAAAAAGTCGGGGATTTAGTGAAGGTTCACCTGCTGGCTGGAGATTGACCCAAAACAATGAAAGGCTTTTTGTCAACACATATTCATTTATTTTTTCTTAATGGCTCGGGGCGAGTCCTGACTTGAATCTCACTGATCATCTGTGCCACAACAACCAATCGTCTCTCTGTTGACTCAGACTGAGCTTTGGCTACGAAAAGGTCAAATAGTTCCAGTCTAGCTTTTTTGCTTTTTCATTCCAAATATTTCATCATTTTCTACTTCACAATAATTCACTAGTTTGTGTTGGTCTTGCAAATTAAGGTGTTTGAATATTATGTTTGGAAAAAAGTTCAAGGTGTGTGAATACATGACTAAAGTACTGTATGCAGTAAAGATCATGCAAGTTGTTTAGCATGACACTGACACACAAAAAAAAACACACATTCAGCCATTCTTTAGTGATGCTAAAACATACATCCAGGAGCGACTAAGCAGCCTGCATTATGACAATATTTGCATATAAAACAAAACAAAACAAAAAAAAAAAACAAGGTTCTACCTGATGGTATGAAGGCAGCCTGCTGCTGAAACTGCATGTTGGCCAGGGCCTGTTGGTACTGGAAAACGCCAGCATTGAACATAGTGTTGGCACCGTTGGCTTTTTCAAGTGCAGGTCTCTTTGGTAAAGGAGGCAAGACAGGAGGGAGCCCCTGATAAGGGGGATGACGCCAAAAGAAAGGGACGGGGGTGAGAGAAAGACAAAGAGTGGCGACAGCAGGAGTCAGATGAGAGAGAAGAGAGAACTCCATTAGAAAGCAAAGTTTCCGTCTTGCTAGAGCTAATACACACGAAATGAATTAGGCTACGTTAAAGTTAGAGCAGCACGTAATGTGGTGCTGCCGAGCTAAGTCAGCTACATCAGCAATACTAAACAGCTTCATGGCTTATGTAAAGGATAAGACATCATAATTTTATTAAAGAATACATGAACATTGATAGTACAAGATCTAGTTCTCATCATTGGTCAGTGAAGAGAAATGAGATATTTAGCGTGGGACATGTTAATATCGTTTTGACACCTTTCTCGACAATTATTCATGCAAAATGAAAAATAACATCGACATGCAAAGCCTACCAAGACACTAATAAAGACTGTAACTGAAGGCTCACCAAAAGGCGATGAACTAAATTATGAGTTTCCATTTGTTGAGCAAATATTTCTGGCGTTTTGAACTAATTTCTCGAGCGAGAAAATGCTCTGTAAACAGAGTTAAGGCGTCACATGAGTTCATCCCCAATCGGCGCTCCCTCAGTTTCAACAGTTAATGACATGTATAACACCGTGGCGACATGCCAAGCTAAAAGGTGAAAGGTCATAGTACCAGGTCAAAAGTTGCGTCGAGGGGTCGCTTCAGTGATTTGACAGCCGACTGAGTCTTAATTAGCAGGCAGCGAGCGCGTGATGCGGCAATGGGCCAATGGGGTTCAAGCGCAATAACATAAACCAGCAAGCGAAGGCGCGTCATGGAGCAGAGGGGGGGCGGCAGTGCAGTGTGGGTCGGAAAACAAACAAACAAACAAACAAACAAAATAAAGAAATCATTTGAATGCAATATACACCACTTACAAGACTACAGCATGCGCTTAGGGTTACTGGAATGAACATTTACAGTTAGCAAGGAAATTCATGTTCATCAATCGGAGAGGGAAAAAAAAATGCTGTAAGGAGAGGAGGATCAGCTCACCTTCTTTTTTTTAGTTTAATGAAGGGGAAAAGGAAACTGTCAGTCACTATCAATTCAGGTTTAACCAGAACATATTTCGATGATAGCATTTGAAGCTGAAGTTTATTGACTGGGCTTTCAGGAGACCAGAGTCGATTTTTGGCTGCTTAAGCCGCAAAACCCATCAGTTATCCCTCAAAGCCGAGGCTTCCTGCTCTGATCGCTGATCATTATTTTATAAACGATGTGGCAGCATTAGCTTAGACACTACACCGGGTTCTATGGAAAGAACCCGGTGTAGTGTATTTTATTCTGCTGAATGATAAAATAAGTGCCTCATTTTGTCTTAATGTGTCCAAACATTGTTTTCCTTTACCCACGGAAGAGTTGTAGCTGAACACACCCCTTTTTTGTTTGTCTGTCACATCTGCTTTCCCAGAAAACCTTAAAAATCAACAATTATGGCAGTGATTAAGTTTCCATCCACTGTCAGTCAAAGGGTTAGAGGTGGGGTAAAACTCAAACAATTAAGTCGTCATTCCATCTCAGGGTGCCGACATGTTTATCCAAGCTATTTTATTTGATGCAGGACTTACCATTGCTTTGTACCAAGGTTGTACGTTTCTATATCTTTCAGTGGAAGTTTATTTCATCCGTCTTTTTATACATCTTTATGGGTGCCCATAAGAGTGGATGGCGGTGTTTATGTTTAATTTACGGCCTTGTGACATATCATCTGCGAACCAGGTTGTTGAAAGTCTTTTTGACCTTATGCTCTAATCCTAATTAGGTACTTCAGTGTCTTATTTACTGCAAAGTGTTAAACCTCATTAAGCCACTGGAGGTTATTTACTGGCATCTTTAATCTGGGAGTCTTACATGGTTGGCCTATTGTACTTTGCATAACCTGCAGCCATATTAGTGTCTATGATTTTGAATTTAAAATGAAATATTCATACAGCTTGTCCGCAGAAAGAAGCATGAACAGAGTTTCCTCTAGATATCTATCAGGTCAGCAGCCTTCCCCATGACTGTGCAGGCCATAATATGATCGCTACATAACATTTATATAATAAGCCATTTTTTTTATTTATTTATTTTTTTTAATTGGTGTAAAAGTCTAAGTTTCCAAGCCACATAATTTTGGGTTGTTACTGTCTGTAAGCCATAATTGTCAAAATTCCATGTAATAAAATATTTCACAATTTCCCTCCCAATCTAGATTTGAGTTTGGCTTTCTACTCTTTCTTTTTCTTTCCTTTCGATGAATATCAGCAGTAAACACAATATTGTTTTTCTTTTAGGCATATGCAGGAACATCTTAGCATGAAAGCTAATTCTCTCTGGATTTACCTGCACAATGTCATCTACAGCACTTAGCTAAGCAGAACTTCATTGTGTGTCCCTAGAGAAAGCCATCTCTGCATTGCAGAAACGGCACTAACTGGAGCACTAGTCTCCACACAGTTGTCCTCTCAGCAAAAAAATTTAGCACAGGCTAACTATTGACTGAGCAGCGAAATACACGGCTAATGAAGCAGCAGAACAAGGGCGAGTGTAGAGAGGAGCAGAAGGCTCAGTCACATCCTACTGCAGTCAAGTAAGCATGTGTATCTTTAATTGCATAGTGAGTTATAGTTGTACACTGCAGATGTAATGGAGAATTTCATGAGTAGGACAGAAGCGTCTTCCTCTGCACGTAAGAGGTTCGGTGGCTCCAAATTTCAAAATTTCACAAAGCAAATCAAGAATGAGTTGGGAATATCCATCTGAATTTATCTCTTCCATACTTTCCTGTGCTTTGGCGGTGTAATTATCGGACAGATACCCACCAAGGCAGCGGCGGCCGCAGCCTGGTTGACTTGGTGCTGGGCGGCTTTGATTTTGGCCTGCAGGTGAGCCGGGGGGTGGAAGTACTTGCACTTCTCCCTCGAGCAGCGGCCCTTTATGTAGTCCATGCACACAGTGACTGTGTTGTCATTTGTGTCAATCATAGTGCTGTCTGACGGATGGGCGAAGCGGCAGTCGTTCTCCCCTCGAGTGCAGTTACCTCGCTGGTACTCCCGGCAAACCTGGGCAAGAAACAGAACAGGGAACATCAGGCATCAGCATCAGGACAAGACAGAAGTGATCTCCTCCCACTCTTTACTGTCTGTCCTCCCAGATTCGTTCAGAGCACGACAAACTGTTTTCCTGTCAACAAATAATTCTCCCAAATGAGCTGCACACTCCTGCAGCTCCTCTGAAACAATGACTCCTTTGTTGTTTCCTGATTAAAAATGTCCTACTTTACCTGCAAGTTTATCTGGACATCCGTTTCTCTGTGACTCCGGAGTCGTGTCATGTTCTGTGCCTTCTCAAATTACAGACTGAACTGCGAGACGTTCAGAGCCTGGGATTTCATTGCGATCTTTAACGCTACTTCGAGCTTCCTCACAACCTCAATCCTGATCTGTTTGGTGCGTTTGTGATCTTTGTCATGCTAATTGTTCCTTAAATTTGTTTAATCAAACTTTATAGAATGAAAAGAGTTATACCGTTTACTTAGAGGTGTCGGAGTAAAGGGGGTATAAATGCCTGATTACATTGATGAAAAAGAAAAACACCAATTTGTAGTCTGTCACATGCAATTCCAATCAAATAAATTAAGAATCTGGTGGTAAAAGGATAAAATATGAAAAAAAAAAGTTTATCAATTTGACTTTAGAACTTTACATCGTTTCTAAGCTGCATTTTCATCATTAGTCCTCGTGACAAACTTGTCAACTTCTGTTGATTGACACACCGACTTGCATTTGTTGTTCAAGTGAGCATTTTCGTTGTTGTTCCCACGACGGACAGAAGGGGGCAGCATCTCCACGACCTCGGAAGGAAGGTAAGGAGGGACATAATTGCTTCAGTATGAAATTTACTGGCTTAAGTGAGGCCCATGGGAAATATGCGGCTGGTTCGCCTCTGGGGAGGCTTTAACTGACGCAATCACCTGAATACACATAATAAATAACACAGAGAGACGCACAAAACCCGGGTACACACACACACACACGCACACAAAACAAACATTTTCTCTGGTGACTCAAAGCAATGATTGACCTTAAAGAAGCATGTCTCCACCTGGCTGTTTTTCGAAGCTGCATTTTCGCCATTAGACCTCGCAGAGTGAAACATGTTTTCATGGCGGGCTGAACGGACCGGCGTTTCTATGATGACACAAGGCCTGTTTACAAGTCTGTTATCTGGAAAGCAACTCTGACGAGACAAACCCCCGTTCGCCAACACCGACTAACATTGGAGACTGACATTACATCCATCTTATTCCTCTTACCCTTGCTACACCTCCTTGGGTTTTCAGTTTTATTTTTTTTTTGTTGTTGTTTTTTTTCTTTGTTGTTCTTTTAAAGCGAGATCGCCTTGTTGTCGGGCTGATGTTGGCGGGGCAGGCAGGCGAGGGAGAACAGAAGATATTAGCAGGGCTGATGAATAAAGAGCAAGCGACTGACCGATGGCGAGTGAGGAGACAGAGGTGCCGCCAAAAAAGATCAGAAGGCAAGAGACGACTAAACGATAACAGATTAGGCGTTCGGGGGCGGCAGGTGTGAGCCGGCGAGCGTCTCCTCACAGTTACGCATTAGCAGGAGTTAAATCAGTGAAACTGATTCACTCCACAAACACACAAAGGGCCCCTTAATCATATTTTTGGCCCCACTTTAACTGTCCCTCTGGGACATTTGCATCAGCAGGGCTGCAGGTAAGGAACAAATGATTTAACGCACATGGAGATAATGATGTAGTGAAGCAGATTAGGAAGAGAAGTCTGAGACGACAAGGAAATATTTCTGAAGAAAACAGTCTGCAAGATTGTCTTCTAAAATTGGACCTTCTGCCAGCCACAATGAATTATCTACTGACTGGTATGAGAGTTTTTTTTTTTTTCCATGGAATTTCTGGTATGTTTATTTTAGACGACACTCTCTAGAATATAAGTCAAGGCAGGCAAGTCTCTCTGAGATGTCTTTTAAGAAATTCTGGTGAGAAAGTACAGAAACAGGCATGTTTTTTTTAAAAGTGAAATAAACAAGAATTATTGGCACTTTGTTAAACTCATAAATACAGTGCAAACGCTTGAATAAAGCCACATGATGGCCACAAACCTCAACTCATTTCATTGGGTTTATTCCGATAGTACAAAACTGCAAAGTGGAAAAAAAAAATCATTTAAATATAAAAGTCTACCACTGTGTTTCATGGTTGGGAAGATTAGTTCAAAAAGTTAGTTTCCCAACTTTTTGTTAAAGATCCACAAAGTTCAGTTCAGGTCTCGTCTGACACAGACGGGTTCATTTTTTCCATGTCCCTTGCACTGCATGCAGAAAACTTTTAAACTGGACTGCTGTCCTTCAACAATGGATCTCTTCTTGAAACTTTTTTTTGTGTGTAGAACTCAACTAAATGTTTTCCTGTCAACAAATTCCCCCATCTCCCATTCCTGCTCTCTGCTAGGTTCTTTGGCTAGCAGGAAGCAATTTATTCACTAATGTTTACAAACGGACCTTTGTGTAATCTGATTTTTGCACAACGGTTCTGGGAAATACTCAAAAGTAGCTCCTGTCTACAAAATAGCTAGCTTATTGAGGGATTTGATTGCACTGGATTTTATTTAGGGGTATCAGAGTGAAGAGGACGGGACAGAAATGAATGCCACAATTCTCCAAATCTGTTTGTAAAAGAAAGTAAAGAAGATGAAGTGAAATTGGCAATTTCCTTCTAATTCACAACCATCTAGTACTTTGTGTTGCATTTTACAAAAAAAAAAAGAAAAATCTGATAAAATACATTTATGTGGTATGTGACAAAATGCTAAAATGTTTCTAGCGGTATTAATACTTTCCAAGGAGCTGTATTTCACCACTTTTGCCTGTGAGTTTTGCCTGCAATCAAGCCTGACCACTCCTTTGTCTGCGACATCCAATCTGTACCATTTCCTTTTTTGTTCTTGTTATCCTTGTCTGTGCTCGCCTCCAACCCTCCTCTGACGACCACAACAGGTCTGAGGATCGATTTCCGATCGCCCGCTCCATTTCTCTTTTCCCGTCATTGACCCAGTCCTCCGTGTCACACGTCGCCCGCCCGTCCACCGCAATCTGGCGACTTGCTCGGCCTCATCCCCCCCTGCTAATTAGCCCGCCACCAAACATCACAAGTGCAAAATGCAAGCTTCCCGGCGTCCTCACACGCCTCCTGCCTGCCCTCCAACGATTTGGCCATTATTCCGCTGCGAGTGTTTCCCCGAGTGCAGCTTACATAATGGATGAGATTGACTTACCGTCCAATTAGCGAGCAAGGGGAGGGGGCACTCATCAGGTTTCAAATGACTAATTGTTTTTCATCGAAGAAGGGAAGCTTTTTGTTTTATACAGGAACACTCCTTTTGTGCCAAACTACTTGAGATTTTGCCAAACACAATCGTCTGCAGCCTGTTCATTGGAACAAGTTTAGTGTTTATTGAGAGATAATCTCATTAGTGTCGCTTTTTTTGTCTTCTTCTTCTTCTTCTTCTCCTTCTTCTTCTTCTTCTTCACTTTGCTTAATTTTTTGGCAGTGACTGAGTTGTGATAATAAGGTGTAGTTACTGTGACAGAAACTGTATACAAGATGCATAATTAAAGCCTACAAACAAAAACTGTTGAGGCAAGACTTTCCAACTCCTGCCTTTATTATTCAAAAGAGGCGTCCGTCGACATTTCAAAGCCTCGTCTGTTTGCGCAGCTTGGAAAAAAACAGAGAAAAAAAAATAAGATCCTTGGCGAGCGCCACGTTTACTGGAGCTTTGCTAATTTATTTCCTAATCTGGGGCTGATTTGGAACTGACAAAATATTAATGCTAATCCTTTTCATCTTTGTGATCAACAGCTTGAAATATCAGGGTTTTTTTTCAACATTTATATTCTTCTTGTCTTTCTCACCTCCAGTCTGTCCGTCCTCATGAGCTTCTGTGCGGCGGCGGCGGCAGCGGCAGCAGGTACTGGAACGCTGGGGTTGCTGGTGACCAGTACGGGCGCGCTTGGCAAGATGTCAGCGGGCATCAAACCGGGTGACACGGGGCCAAGGTAGGGGTTAAACGCAGCGGCTGCTGCTGCGGCATTGGCGTTTGTTGCAAGGCTGGGGGTGACTGAAAACATGGGCTATGCAAAACAAAAAGGAAAAATAGGTAAAGACATGAAATTCAGCAAAATCAACCAAAAACATACAAAAAGTACTTTAATCATGTCAGCAGAATTTAATTTTATCTGATGGTTTAACATTAAGTAGCACTAATGTAAGCTGAATGAAATTTTTAAATTTTTTTCTCCAAGTCTAAATTAAAAAAGTGTGCACGTTTTAGCCTCTTCTCTTTAACTACACCTAAATAAAACACATTAACACCACTTGATTCCAGTTGCTGGCATCTGCATAAATTCATCTCACTATCCCTCCAGATGTTCCGTGAAGGTCTCAGAGGTTCTGTCAGACAACATCAGTGGACAAAAACAGATTTGCATTATGGAAACCGAGGAATACACGGGCCAGGTGAGGGAGAAAGTTGGGACGAGGTTTCAAGTTGAGTCGGGTCACTTTGAACACATGTTGAAAATGGAAACACTTTGAGATATCAGCAAGCAAGATGTGGCGATCCAAGTTAACTGATAAGAGGAGGCCTTTAATTAGATAGAAGAGAAAGAGGAGAAGCAGGACAGTCGAATAGGAAGCACATAAAGACGTGTCGGGTACAGGTGCAGCGCAAGGAATCGGGTCAGCATTATGGCTTTTCCTATTGCTTTATTAACCTTGTAAGATCAAAGCATTGTGGTTCAAACATGGACTTTTTTGCGTCCACCAAATTATTAATTCCCCTTCAAACATATGTAATTTGTTGTCTTAGTAGATCTGCAAAGGAATTTCATCCAGAGAAAGTCCTCTACGCTCTCACTTACCAGATGATTAAAACTGATTTCAGTCATTTTTATTATGTCCATAAATGTGTACAAGACGTAAAGTAAATAAAATATTCCCCTTTGATTATGAACCTGAAGATTCACTCTGGATTAAACTAAATTTGCTAGATCTGCCATGAGATGTACATACATGTTTGAGGTCAATTTGAATGTTTCTGCAATTAAAAAGCCTAGGTTTTGACTGGACTACTTTGGTATTTGGAAGTTAAGATGCAATCGGTATTAATTGTCATGTAGATGAAACACATGACTGTTTCTTTTTGATGGGGGATTTAATGACATAAACAGGATTGTACAGTCTTGGGGGTTGTGTAGATTTTTATGAGATGCTTGTTTTGTGGGCTAATTTTGTATTTTGTCATTAATTATATGCACACCCAGGAGCTTTGTTTGTTCCAAAAATGTAGCATTTCCACACCGATAATGTGCACACCGCTATTTGTTTTAAAATTATGGTTCCGATTTTATCTCTTTTCATCTATTTGATCCACTGTTTCAATAACAATCACATCTGCATATGTGAAAGATGCTTCTGCAAAGCAATGGCCAATAAGGTTGAAAATACGCTGACGCAAACATTTTTCTGATTTTTATTTGTCTACGGTTATTGAAAAACGTCAATTTCCTTCACTATTTTGTGGTTTATCTGTAACGATGTTCCAATGATGCATAGTGACGTTCGTAAAGATGATTCGAACAGACTGTGTGCAATAACGTGAATGAATAACATCTGCAAGCGTTTGACAAATAAAACATGTGTTGCCATCTTCTGTCTTTGATCATAGCTTTCCTGGACTAGACTCAGGCACGTCGCAGCAGTAGCAACGATGGAAGTCAAGCCGTGAATCCGTGTGATGTGGGAGAGAGGTGCTTCTCTGCTCTGCCTGTTTCTGCTGTACAGAAATTCACCCGAGAAAACATCCTCCTCACATCTCTTTTCTCCTCGTAATCTTCCCAAACCGAGGCTGAGGCGTAAACAGGCTGACACGGAGCACCGAAAGTTTTCCCTGCCCGCTCCTGACCTCGGCCCCCTGTCAGCTGGGAATAATAGAGGAGCAAAAGCAGCCAGAGCCGGACAGCTACATTCTTCCTCGAAGCCGCCTCGCTGCTCTGCTTTTTCTCAGGAAAGTAAGATATGATGTTTTGAAGCGTCAAATTCCTCCGGGTCCCCCCTGGCTCAGGAATCCAGTCCAGATTTGGGTAGGTAGGACGTAGCTGAAATATCCGTTGGAGGTATTTGCAACTGGAGCGGCAGGGGGAAGACATGATGTCACTGCAAAAGGCTCACAGTCATGATATTTTAATAATGCAGTGATGTCATGCAGCAAGGAGCTGTGACCTCTCTTATAGCCTTTTTCGGAATGCCTCTTTCTATGATACCGCAGATTCTCTGGAGCCTAAAACCACTGAACTGAGCGAGGGGGGCGGTGCTGATGTACTGGATATATTTTCTCACAAAATACTTTCTGGTGATAATCTCTGTCGGAACAGTAATGTGGTTATTTGCACTTTAAAACATTCAACCTTGCTACTATGGAACCAAACGTATTCTGTGTTGGCCTTGAGAAAAGGAAAACTGCATTTTCTGTCTGGAGCTTGTTCAGTATGACAATTTAATACATCTGTGATCTTATTCTGTATTTTAAAAAAGGTGGAATGAAGCATCACTGTCAAAACAAACAAAAAAAACACTATGATTGAATTTATTTCCACATTCTTTCCGATTTTAAACAATAAACAAACACATGCAAACAATAAAGAAATAATTGAAAAAAAAAATCTGTTCACCACATTCTGACTGAATAATAAGAGGGTCTTGCTGAAACTCATGTCAATTAATTCAATTTGTGTTTGGCAGTGAATAGCTACTACAGCAAATTTACAATGTATTTTGTTTGAATTTTATATGAGAAACCAAAACAAAATAGCACAAAAAACGGCGACATTAAAAATTATCCCCAAGGTGGAATGTTATGCTGGCAGAAATCCAGGTTAGAATAAATAATAAGGGATGGCGACCCAGGACAGACAAGGCCAAAACTAAAAAGAAAGATTTACTTCAGTCCTCAGAGGGAGGCTGGCAAACTACCATTTCTAAAACGGATCTTAACGGAATAGTAGGTTTTAAGAAGGTAGTTTTGTCAGCTGTCTCATGTTCGCTTGACTAGGAACGCTTCTGAAAAGTTGCATTGAAGTTTGCGGTGATAACAGTAACTCAAGAGATTACAGGGGGATTTAGTGCTGCCAATAAATGCCAATAAATGTAATGAGCAGAACCAGAGCCAGCCTCTTGAAATTTATGCTTCCCTCTCACTCTGTTCGGTGATGCAGTAAAACTGTATTCATTGAGTCTTTTAGATTTTTTTTTCTCCCTTCTTCTTTTCCAGAGCCTGTCGACAAAGTCTGAAAAAACAAAGGCTGAGGAATCCATTGCGGGACTTAAAGAAGCAGTGGATCATCTTGGAACTGCAAAACCTTTTCTTCTTTTTTTGTTGTTGTTGTTTATGTCATGGTGAGAAAGTGTTGAAAAGAGAGCAGGAAGAAGACAGCCTGGCAGGGAAGGACACAGCAGCAGAAGAAAAGCAGTAAGTGAAAGAGGCAGGAAGAGATAAAGGGAAGAGGAAAAAGGCGGGCAGGCAGGTAAAGTAAAGGTAATGGAATGTCAGCAGACCTTTAGACTTAGCCTGCAAAGAAAAGTTAAAAAGGGAGCTTGTCGTGTGTAAAAGGAACAAAGGTGGACGCGCTTTTTGTCAGACTTTAGATTTCCTCCTTCCTTCCTCCTTTTCTTCTGAGTGCAAAGTTCGCTTCTCTATCCCAGCATCACTTGAGCTGATTTTCTCTTCCTGTGCTCCCACAACTACCACTCGTCTCATCGCTTGTGTCAAAATAAAAGGTGCTTTCATTTCTCCCATGAAACTGTCCAGAGGGTGAGGTAACAGGGATCCATTACATCTGGCAGTGAGTGATGGAGCTCATAATACTTTTCATTAGACAGTAAGCATCGACAGATAGTTCGTATTATGTTGTTACAGAACCGTAGCACTCGCTAATTCGTTTTGCTTGTCCCGCCGCACACCCCCGGCGCTTTTTAAGAAACGACCCGCGCGGGTCAAAATGTGAAGAAATGAAACGCTTTGCACTGCTCCCATCATTAGCCGTATCGGCTAAATAATTTGTATCAACTCTGGACAAAAAAGGGTGATACAATGTAAGGACAGAGAGAGTAAGTTACATCTTGCTGTGGTGCTAAGCACTTTTTAAAACAATCTTAATCATTGTCAACTGGAAGTGCAATACTCTCTCTACACTCCCTCTGTGTGTTGCAATTGGTCAAACATTTCTTAGCTGAATTATTCGATTAAATACATCAGATTTCCTTCGGGATGTCACTCCCTTCAAGCACTCCACATCTGGAGGTGAGGCAGTCTTTATCAGTCCAAAGAGATTAGTGCAGGACAGGGTTATGTCATAACGAGAATTATCTTCTGGAAGGGGCATTTGTATGCCGTTTTTGTCATTTTTGTTGCACTGGCACATATATCTGATATAGGGTGTAACTCTAAATTGCGATGGTAATTTAAAAATAAAAAAACAATTTAATGTTTTGAAAATCATTTAAATGGATCTTATGGTTTTGAATCAACTCCAGTTCGGTTCTTCTTCTGCTGCTTCACTTGCTGTGGAGCAAAACTGGCAAAAGCAAAAAACATATAAAAGTTTTAATTGTTTCAGAACGTCATCAAAAACCATTTTAACTATGTAATTGTATTATTGCTTAAAATTTCTTACATCTTCTAAGCTGTTTTATAATATTATTTTACCTTAAATGCAACACATGGCATCATTTTCTACTTACGGCACAATAAAGTGACTTAGGATGGTTTTAGAGACTATTTTTTATTTATTTTTTGCTTATTTTTAGGGATTATTTTCTCACTTTTTCAGTTAATTCACATTTGAGCAGGGCTATTTTTGATCCACATAATGGTTTTCAGGTATATATATATATATATATATATATATATATATATATATATATATATATATATATATATTATATATATATATATATATATATATATATATAATTCTGGTCATTGGTTGATTTAATGATCCTGTCATTTTGCTCATTAGTGAGATCAGTCATTAGTAGCTAAATGTCAGTAAATGCTCTACATGCCTCGAAGAAAAAAATAAAACTCAAAACAAAACACAAATCCTGACCCTGTTATGCACTTATATATATATATATATATATATATATATATATATATATATATATATATATATATATATATATATATATATATAAACTTTAATTAGCAAATATGGAAACTTTTGAAGTCGTGGAGACATGCTTGTTCTCACCACTGGTTGTAGCTGTGCTCCGGGGATCATGGCGTTGGCGAGCTGCATCTGTTGGGCCAACATGGCCATGTTTTTCTGCTGAATTAGGTTGTTTCTTCCGTTGATCTCCAGCTGTGTCTTTAGGTGGGGAGGAGGGTGCAGGTACTTGCAGTTCTCCCTGGAACAGCGTCCCTGATTGGGTGAGAGAGAGGAAGGAGTTATGAGAATAAGAAGAAGGAGGAGGGACGAGGAGGATCAAGACAAATGTATGGCCGACTGGAAAACTCTGTCTTCTAATTGCGGTGAAGTATCAGAAGAAAAGACCCCTGACTCAAATTGTTGCAACACTGTCTAACACAGATCCCTCTTGCTTATTTTTGGGGAATTCTTTTGTTTTTCTGGAATAAGATGATTCAAAGCCAAACCAGACATAATGAAATATGTTAACATAGAAAAATCAGGTGATTTTAATACTTTTTTGAATTAAGAGATTTTGAAATTATAAATTGTTTTACACTTTCGGCTTTCATCAACAACTGAAATGGAAGGCAAACCGGAGGGAAGGTTCACATAGATAAATGTAATAGATTTCTTGTAATTGTTGTTTTGGGGGAAGAAAATAAATCAAATCCATAAAACGTTTTTGCTTTTTCTTGAGTTGCAGCCGGAATTCTCAATCTGTTTTACTGATTTAATGTGACCAGAACGAAGTCGCGAATAATTGTGAAGTGGAAAGAAAATGATACATTGCTTTCTTTATTTTTTTACTACTAAAAAGACCTAAAAGCGTGCTGAGCATTTAAATTTGGCTCACCAGGGTCGATTCTTTCTGGAATAATATTTAGCTGCAATTTCAGCTACAATGTCCGTGGTGGTATTTTGCACATCCTTCACTGGAAAGCAGCTCCGGCTCAGTCAGACTGGACGGAGAGCATCTATGAACAGCTATTTTTCTGCTCTGGTTACGTATTCTCGGTCAGATTAGGCTTTGAGGATTAACTGATGCATGAATATGTCTGACTGAAATAATTACATTAGAACTGTTATTACCCTGTACTTAGCTCCATCCATCTTCCTATCATCTCTTTGTTCTTGCTAAAGAAAGACATCGCTATAGCATGGGATTGCTACTATTATGTTACACTGAAAAGACGCTCTGCTCAGGCTGATGAAGTCGTAGTTTTCCCACCACAAAGCACTTTGTGTGCAGCCCAGAAAGTTTAACTTTCATTTCATATTCAATACTCATTCCTCCAGATGTTTGATGTGTCCCCTACATTGAGTTATTGCAAACTTTAAATTGATGTCAAATAACTTTCAGGTTTTGAGTTTGACACTTCTCCACAAATACCAAGTCAATGGGGTCTGTAACCTGTCAACAGATTGTCCCACCTGGACAACAGACCACTTTTCCTCATTTTATTTAAAGGTAAAAGTAAGGGAAGTGAATACAAATGCATTCCACACTGTTCAGATGTTTATTAGTAGACATTTTTTGAAGTTCAAAGAAGGGCTGGTGGTAGTCCGTAATATATGGACTTAAATTTTGAAGGTAGTATCGTGATAACGGTAAAAGACACAACAAAAACTATTTATTACTTCTCTTTTAGGCAGCTGTATGGGAGTCACAATGTGACAACAATCATGGCATCACAAACACAACACTGCTCTTGGTAAACATATCAATTTGTAATATGCTTCTTTAGGACACAAGTCACAAAATGAAGTGTGATTTGTGCCACCACACTGCGCATAGTAACTGCACTTAATCAAAATTTCAAACTGATTCATTTTTATTGATACCTTAATATAATATTTGTTCATATGATCAATTATTAATATGAATAATAATTTGTATTGTTACGAATTATAATTGTATTGTCCGGACAATTGTCGGGATTGTCCGTATTGACAATACGGACAGCTTTAGTGATTTTAAATGTAGTCATAATAAATTTTTTATCATGACAACAATACATCAGAATTCTTATCAGAGTAGGACATTTAATCCTAATAAATGTCAAACGATACAATAAATGCCCAACCCTACATTAAAAGCAATTCACCAAAGGTCAACCAGGCTGCCAAATATTATGCACATCAAACAAAAGTTGTGTTTGTGGTTTGTGCTGAAAAATCTTTGTCTGCACCTCCGAAACTTCAAAGATAGGGTAAGTATAAAAGAAAAGGTCATGTCTCAGGTGCATCGTTTTTCTTCTACTTAGGAAATATGTGCTACCTAAGTTAGGATTGATAACATACCAATAAAATGCCAATAAAATAGATAGGTCTCTGATCGTAAAATACGATGGGTAGAAGACCTCTGCAAAATCAAACAGAGTAGAAAGACAACGAACTGCCACTTTGATTCAGTTCTGCCACTTTGGCTTAAATCAAAAGAAAAAGTATCGTCGTAATATAGCGTCCTAATCCCCCTTTACTTTGCCGCCCTTGAGACTGCCAGATGTGTTGCAAAAGCTCCATAAGTGACTATTGACTGCCACCTGAATTAACCAAATGAGTTATGTGTCAATATTTGAGATCGTTGCGGAAAAGAACAGGCTGGAGAACTGATGCGGGATCGATACATGATTGAAGCCTTCTGCCAGAGTGGCAGACACAAGCACACATAACAGCAGTCTAATATTATTCCAGTGTCTATAGACAGAGCAGTGTGTGTGTGTGTGTGTGTGTGTGTTGTCTGCGTACTTGCTGCTGTGGGTGATTATATTCATCCAGCAGCCTAAGGGGACAAGGAGAGAGTGTAATTTACACTCTCATAATGCCGGCTCCTTCAAATACTCCCCCAGATAGCTGTAATATCTTAGATGTCTCCTCCTCTTTTTCTTTTTGACTCTACCTTTCTCTGTCTCTCTCTCTCTTTTTCTCTCTCATTGTTCCCATCTTTCTGCTTCAATCACTTCAATATTCTGAGCCGGTGCTGATATTTACTCTCATCATGACTACAGAGCAGAGCAGCTGCAGTGCTGCTGTGATCTGTTCAGGTAAATGTGGAGAAGGCGAACAGCAGACGTCCCGCTGCTCTCCTTCTTTCTTCCATTGGCTACCTCATTGGAGGTAGCCTCTCCTAGCTCTACTAATTTTTTTTCTTCTTCTTTTTTTTTTTTTTTAAGTTAAAGTAAAAGTATTTCAAAGAAAGATCCAAGGGAGGAGTCGGGGGGCGGAGAGGGGTGAGCCCTGACAACACTACAGTGCCACCTCTCATGGGGAATTATGGGCCTGCTGCTTTATCTCGGCGAGATTACCTGCAGCTCACTGCGACCCGCTGTAACACCTGCTTTTCACAACCTAACACATCCACTCTTCCAGCTCCTCTTTTATTCCTGATGCTTCTCCTCTTTCTCACCCCCACCCGTTCTGTTTCATCTCACTCCGTGTCTCCCTTATCTGCGCCTCAGATTTCCTCGCGCCGGCTCTTCTGCCTGGCGACAGGCTGCGCATTGGAGAGCGGCTGCGTGTTGGGGGTACTTCCGACATTTCCATTGGCCGGAGCTGACACGGGAAAGGTATTCCGAGCCAGCCTCCTGGCCTCGAGGCACACATTATCAGAGCTCCGAGTCCGGCTCATCCCCGTGTGTTACTGTGACTATTGATCAGCGGGTAATTGGTTAATGTCTTTTGATTTTCAAAGTGCATTCCCTCTGGCAGACCACACTTAAACATGTCATCTCCTGAATGTGTTTGTCGGTGGGTATCACTGTTACATAAAGTCCTCTGTTGGCTCTTCTACTGTATTCTCAGCCGTTAAGAGTTTAGCAGGTCTGAAACACTCATAATATTTTATTTAAATTCACCAAAAATAAAATAAAAAATTCATTCACGTACATATCTTAAATAATTATTTGGGCACGTCCAAAACAAAAGGGAAAGTATAAGTAAAGTGACTGTCATAAATCAAAGCACTAAATGAGAAAATCTGAAATTAATTGATCATTTTTATAGTTTCTTTGACATAGAGCCTTGACTGGAGGCACAGGATCATTAAATGAGTTAAATAAGACACATTTAAGAAAAGGTTTTGTTTTAGGTTTTTGACACTTTGGATTTTCATACTTAAAGGACAATCAATGCTTCTTTTTATAAAGGAAGTTAAGGATGTAGATATTTAATAACAACATGATCAGAGTGAAGTGAAATTGTAATTGTATTGTTTTGTTAAATTAATAAATAAAATAAAATAAAAAAACAATTTTATAAAATAATTTAGAATTGTTCTCCCTAAAAAATAAGATATCTCCATGGCAGCACATAATTCAGAAATATGTTTGTAAAAACTGTTCAATAATTTGAACTGAAGTTGAAGAGGCGCAGTTGCCTTTAAATTAAAAACTTAATGATGATTGATGTGCCAAAAAAATGAAAAACATAATATTTGTTGTTAATCTACAGTCACAGCAGCTGGCTCTTTAACTATTCTAAAACAAAGCTTGGAAGGCTCCTTTAGTTTTAGGTTTGAGGAAATGCCATCAATCCAGCCATCCATCCAGTTACAAAAGAAACACATCCAGTTTCAAAAAACATATTGTTTCTCCCACGCAATCTTCAGTTCATGCTGGGTGACCTCAACCACTCCAAGGTCAGAAGGCAGAATTCCTGTAGGGCAAAGGTCAGCAACTTCAGTCCTCAAGTGCCACCATCCTGAATCCCTGCTTCAACACACCTGAATCAAAAGGCTTTATTTTCTACTTGGCGTGTCAGCAGGTTTTGCAAAATCCTGGTCGTTAACTATTCATTTGGTTCAGGTGTGTTGGAGCAGGGACACAACTGAAACTCAGGAGTTGCTGACCTCTGACCCTGGGGCCCTTTTCCACTATAAAGCGGGAATCATGTCGCCTCAGCTGAGTCATTTCATCATAGAAGAGCAGTAGCTCCACTTGTCGCTGAGTATGCACGTCTATATATGTAAATGTAAAGTTGAACCAATAAGTTGAGAATTCAAGGTTTTGCCTCATCTGTCTCTTTACTGTTCAACAACTTCAACTTCTACAAAAAAATAAATATATAATAGATTTGTATTCATGAAGCCACAGGATTTCCAGCCTTTGGAGCAGAGAATGATCTATTTATGATAACATTTTATTTTTTTGTCCGCTCAGTTTTGCTGAACTTTTCTGGTCTTCTGGTCCCACAGGGCTGGTGATGTTGTCCCAGTTGATGGCATAAAACATTAA